ATTCTTAACCAATAGTAACGAATTGCTGCTGCAGCGTGCTGCGCATGAAAAAGCACCTTTACTTCGTGCTCTAACCTAAAGTTTTCTGTTAACCAAAGTTTGAATAACCTACGATTTAAACCAAAGTTGGTAGAAACGGGCATAAGCAGAATAAATTTTAAGTTGAACAGTTAACAATGTGTAAATTGTGACAACTGACAACGTTTCCAACATGAGCGAAGAAGTTAAACATTTTTCAGATTTAAAACTAAATTCTTGGCTCCTTGCGCAATGCGAGTCTATGGGTAATTTTCTATAAAAAATAATTTATTAAAAGACTAATAAATGATACTCGATGTTTCATAAAAATCACAATTATTTGGTGATACTCAAGGCAAAACTTTTGCAAAACTGGCAGCTTTACGAAATTGTACAGCTATCATTTGTTTTGTTTCTTTGTAGACTTAAAAAAGCCAACTCCTATTCAGCAGAATTGCATTCCTCGAATATTGATGGGTGAAGATTGCATAGGTTGTGCAAAAACTGGTAGTGGGAAAACTTTGGCATTTGCCTTGCCTATTTTACAAAAATTATGCGAGGATCCATATGGTATATTTGCTCTTGTGTTAACACCAACAAGGGAACTAGCTTTTCAGGTGAAAAATTTTATTTTTGTATTCTATTTCTTTTTCTTATAATATAAATTGTTATATATTTATGAAATATATCAGGATATGTTGGATTATCCTATAATATAGTAAATTTAAATGTTTTGAAATAATAGAGAATAAATCTCATTATGATATTCTGGGATTATTTTAGATTGCTGATCAATTTGCTGCAATTGGCAAGGCTATTAATCTGAAAAAATGTGTAATTGTTGGTGGCATGGATATGATGGAGCAAGGATTAGAATTGTCCAAGCGGCCACATATAGTTGTAGCTACACCAGGTCGCTTGGCAGATCATTTGGACAGCTGCAATACGTTCTCCTTACAGAAGATAAAATTTTTAGTATTGGATGAAGCCGATAGACTTCTCGGTGGCCATTTTGATGAACAATTAAAGACAATATTTGCTGCATTGCCCAAGCAGAAACAAGTGTTATTCTTCAGTGCTACAATGACAGATAGTCTGGATAAAGTGAGGCAATTAGCTTCTGCTGAGGTATATTTCAACAACACAACTGTATGAAGGAATGAAAACCATAGTGATGTAAGTCACTTTAAATTTTTCTGCAATTTTTAATTTCTGATAATGTATAAAGTTTTTTTTGTATTTTCAAATTTTTATCAAAGTCACAATTAATAGATTTACATCATTATAGTTTTTATCCCATCCTTCCCTCTTTATATATTATATTCAATTGATAAGAATAAAACTTTTTATTTAGGTTTTTACATGGCAAGAGAAAGATGACTCTGGTATTGCCACTGTGAAGGAATTGGATCAACGTTACGTATTGTGTCCTAAAGATGTGCTCGATTCATATCTGGTAGAAGTAATTAGGATGTTTCGTACCACGAACAAGGATGGTTCTATCATGATATTCACCAACACTTGCAAGTAAATAACAATTGTTTTCGTTATAATATAAAAGTAATTATACATAGACCTAATAATATATCATTATTTTATTCTATTTAGACACTGTCAATTATTATCTATGACTTTGAATGATGTCGGATTTACAAACGTGGCTCTTCACGCAATGATAAAGCAAAAGGAACGTTTAGCAGCATTAAATAAGTTCAAGTCAAATCATGTACAGATATTGATTGCTACTGATGTCGCGGCGAGAGGTCTGGATATCCCCACAGTACAATTAGTCATTAATCATGTAATACCGAATGTACCAAAAGAATACATTCATAGAGTCGGTAGAACAGCTCGCGCAGGTAAAAACGGTTTAGCGATAAGCTTGATAACTCCAAACGATATAAAGTTGTTGCATGCGATTGAAGATGTCATAGGCATTAAATTAATGGAGTACAAGGTAGACGGTGAGTACATGTTCTGTTTTCGCGTTTTCATGTTTTTTTAAAGTAATTCAAAATTACATCTGATTGTTTCTTAATTGATGCTAGACAAGGAAATCATTACAATTTTGACGCAAATATCAGTGGCAAAACGAGAAGCAGAAATTAAACTGGACGAGACTGATTTTTATGAAAAGAAAATGATCAATAAGCAAAAGAAGTTAATCTTAGAAGAATTGGAAGGAGGCCAATTGCTGGACGAGATAGGTATCGCTAAAGAGGAGAGGGAAAAATGTAGAAAGAAAAGGAAAAGAAAATCGGAATCTCTTGAAAATAAAACAACTATATAAACACACCAATGTACAATAAACAATTAAGTCATATAACTCCTGATACAATAATACAAATAGTTATTAATACAAATATTGTTATTTTTTTATCGTATTGCACCCAAGATATTATAATTTGTATTTAAATAATAAAAACGATCTATACGTGTATAATTACTTTAAAGATAAAATGTATAAAAATATGACTAAGATATTTTTATCGACACAAAATGTTTTCAAAGACATATTTTTTTAACGGTAAATTAATATTAAAATATGTTTTCAAACACACATTTTTTGCCAAACTTGATGTTAATTGTAAAATTTTTTACAAACACCTTTTAAGTTTAAATATATACAAAATCATCTAATATCTATGTATTAGATGATAAACTTAATTCCTGCCGTTTTTTCATCTCCAAAATTGATTTGTTTTGAAGGAAAAAAAAATGTGTGTGAATACCTCAAAATAATTTCCTCCATTTGGCCATTGAAGTAACATTTAACACTTTCGACAGCCTGAAAGAATTTCAGCTGGATTTTCATCGAGCAATTCTTGCAAGTTTTTTTGGCTGTCCAAGACGTTCTTTGTCTCACGTCAAAATCACCGTTTCGAAAGCGTTCAAACCAAACTCTATTGTTCTTTTTGATGGAATTTCATCGCCATACACTTCAGATAATAAACGATGCGTTTCAGCTGCGATTTTCTTGAGGTCAAAGTAGTAAAGGAGCACATGTCGGCAAAATAGTTTGTCACGACTCATTTTCAATCGATTGGAAATTATCTTTGGTGTCGAGAAATATAACTTGTGAGGATTGAATCACTTTCAGCAATATCTAAACTACAAAAAAAACATGTGATTTCATCGTCAAAACTCGCCAGCGTTGGATCTGACACCTCTAGCGAACGGCAAGAATTAAGTTTACCATCTATTAATATTATGCATGTGGCAAGTATTAAGTGTATGAAATGGAATATAATTGAAAAGGCAACTTCATATAAAAAATACAACTACACATGTGAACAAACAGCGCACTTTTGAGATACTTAGAGACGCGCTCTAATCTTGTCTTCGTTTTGTATTAAGCTTAATTTTTGCAAAAAGGCGTAAAGTTCGGCAACATATTCCTTAGGGTACGTATAAAAGTGGGCAACGTGAGGCGACTCTTCAAATATCTTCATGTACGTCTGTAACATAAATGCATATCAATGCTTATTGGACCGCTAAGGCCCGGTTGCGCCAACATTTCTTGATTTTAAGCGAGACTTGAAATCGTATCTATCTCGTTTTAAGTCAAAAGAGAGACAGAGATAGTTTAAATCTCGCTTAAAATCGAAATCACGTTGGTACAATTGGGCCTAAATTTCAAACCGAATGAGACAATGCCACAGCGATCTAAGCTGGATCACGAGTGCTTATAAATAATTGCGTGTAAATTTATGTATTACGAATGTAATTTTTTGATTGCGTGCCGAAATTTTTTTTCCAGACTTGAAACGCAACACTAATAAATGGGTTCGATTCCCGGCCTAGGTAATATTTTTTGCAATAAAAAATTATTTACAGTTTTTAATAGATTATTCAACATTAGTAAGATCGATATAAAATGTGTAAACAGCATCAATAATTGTTAAATTGTTAGTAAATTTAACTCGTAATATTGTGATAGTTTAAAAAAATTTCGGCGCGCAATCGAAAAATTATATTCGTAGTACATAAATCCACACGCAATTATTTAGAAGCACTCGTGATCTAACTTAGATCGTTGTAGCATTATCTCATTCGGTTATAAATGCATATGTTTCTACATGATTCTCTCATGAACCAGCAAACGCGAATCTCATACCTTTATTCCTAAAGATTCCCAAGTATCACGCAGAGCTAAATTACTAGTTACAGCTCCAACAGGATCAGTTTTGCTTACAAACAGTAATGCCGGTACACGTAGTACACCAGCAGCATGAAATACCTGACTGGATCGAATGTAATACTGTGTTGCTTGTTGGTGGAATGTCTTCATGTGATATCTGAAAGTAACGTTGACATTTTATACTCAAAGATAATTTATTTTATTGATATTCTGCCCTCTGTTACTTACTCTACGTATTTTCGTAACATAGACTGCAACATCATGTTTTTCGGGAATACTGCACGAGGAAAACCAATTGCGATATGACTAATGTCAGCTATACTGTCCCACACCTGTCCAACAATTCTGTCTGTAACGTTATTGTACTTGTCCTTGTTATTTTGTATTAAATCCAAAGCTTCACCCCACATGTAACCACCCACTGAAAACCCATGTAATAGAATTTGCTGGTAACTTTCGTTTTGTTTTAAGAAAGTTAACAAATCTGCTGCCACTAGCTGTAAACAAGTTGAAAGTTGCAATTGAACGAAAAATGTAAATAGACTAACAACCACTTTAGGCCGGAATCAGACTACGCATTGAAGATTGAAAGATTGAAGTTTGATCAATCAAAATAAAAGGACTCAAAATTTCTTTGCCCTCATTGGTAAAATTTTAATCTTTAATCTTTGATCTCAATCTTCAATGTATAGTCTGATTCCAACCTTAGACATTATCATTGCGTAACCTTTTCATTATATAGACATGTACAACACTGTCAAGAATTACAGAATAAAAAATAAATTAAACTTGTCATATACACACTTACTCTAGAACCTTTCGCAGGCCACATAAGTTGCCAAGGCGTAAGGGATACCACCACCACATCAAATCCTTGTTCCATATACAAATTGACAAACTTCATGACATGTCGTCGCTCCGATAATAGCCAAGTCAGAATAACTAATAATGGACGATTATTTATCACATTTAGATTCTGAGTAATGTTTTTAGATGGAATAATACGATTATTTTGTGTAAGAAATTCAATATTCTTCGAGACATGATGCGAGGATATTGTGCGTGTCAATTGGCCAATATTCTGAAAAAAAATAGGTAAACATGATGAGAGAGAGATAGAGAGAGAAGTACATGATTATAATTATGTACATCTAAGTGACATTGTGTGCTTTCCAACAAGCGACATAGTACAACAGTGATCGTCTCATCCTTGTTTATCATTGGCGAACAACAATAAGGATGTCATAATACACTTGTCACACCGTGTTATCTGTGTCACTTGTCGGAAAGCACACATTATCATTAAGGCATCTCCAGATGATATGGCCAACATACGCCACTTTAGCAAATTTCATACACATATATGACATACATAATTATCTATATTATATGTAGAGGAAAGCCCCTATTATGAGATAGCGGCGTTTCTGCTAAACTAATAAATGCTATCTGTTGATTCTACCATGAAATTATTGCTCTTGGATTGAAAACTATTTAGTGGAAAATTCATTGTTAGATCATGCCTACAGTAATTGTGAAATAAAATTTTAGAATTTGAATGTTTTCAAGTTTTATTGAGATAAGCCTTTAATCTTTGTTTATTATTTAATAAGTAATTATTTGGCAATAAATTCTTCATGTAGTAATAGAGTAAGATCGTACTGATAGAAAACTACGGAATATGTTGAATTGTTTAATTAAAGAAGTTAGATTTGATGATCGTAAAACTGTAAGACGTGATATTCGTAATATGAGGTACTCAGGATATTTCTAATAGAAAATAATCTATACTTCTGTGTCTGATACTTGAAGGTCTGTTTCTGCAATACTTCGATCCAATTACTACTGAAGACAAATCCTGAGTATAATGCATCACATGCTCAATTTACGCGCACAGGCTGTACTCGTTGGTATTTTAGAAAAATCAAATAAAGTTTTCTTAATTCTAATACTGATGTACTTTGTGCTTTATTATCGATTTCTCGGGGTATCTCATATTAGGAGCACAATTTTTTGACTTTGCGATTTGTTCACCTTTTACATTTCTTTAATTAAGAAATAAAATAAAATTTGAATTAAACTTTACATAACACTATCTTAAAGCTTATTAAATTCTCTTCAAAATGACCTATTATTTCTTAAAACTCTGCCTACAAACTTCTAGCATTTACTTCAAGTAAACTCAGTATCTATTAATAGGAGCCTTTCCTCTAGTCAATATTCAGCAAATGTGTGTAAAGTTGGCATACACATTGGCCGTATCATCTGGAAGTGTCTTCACAATTACAAATGAGAGGATACATTACCAAGTATGGGTTACGTTTTAATAGCTGTGACTGCACGCACAAGCTAATCTGTCTTCCCGAAAAAGTATTGCATAAAGCTCTAACCATCATTGTGATAAAGGATTTTTCGTCTTTTTCATATATCTACAAAATAACAAAATGTAAGAAATTAAATATTAATTATTTCCGTAATAAAATTTCTTCATTTGAATGACACGATTAAAGATCAGATTTGTAAAAAATCTCAGTTTACAATCAATATTATAATTAGTAATTATATTAACTTGCTGTCAATATTTACCAATTGATTCTCTTTACAAATTCCACCTCGGTCAACTCAACCGAAAACCACTGTGTGTTATAGTTTAGTGATTCTGCTGATTTTCTGATATATAATGAACGATCCCCTTAGGATTGATTTGTCACTTATATGTCATATAATTATCTCATCTTTTAATTTCCCACGTCTTTCCCTTTTCCTTTACCGCGTCGGGTTTTGAAAAAGATTAAATTTCACTTAAGTCAACCGACTTGCACTCGCACTGTGATCGCAAACGTGTTATTCGAATTCGAATGAAGTAACGCTCACTGTCGCTAACTTGCGGATGACAACTGACACGAGGTCAACTGGTTGAACTGATGGATCGCGTTCAACGGACACAATAATTGAGTGAGCGCTCATTATTGCCCGATGATTGGAGTAGAGTCGTATAGACTTTTAGATACATGATAAATCTAGAAGAATATACCAATGGAAAAAAAAAAAAAACGAGCACTCACTCAATATCGTGTCTGCCGAACGCGCCTCGGATTGCCGAAATTATGGACACGTCATTAAACTCGTTCACGCACACACGTACGCGCGAGTATTTGCGAAGAGGACACGTGCACGCTCGGTGAATAGGAAAAATTTATACGTGCGATTTATCATAAATCGTTACACAATATTCGCGTAAAGTCCAAGGTTCTACGGCTGCAGCGTCTGGCGGCGATAAAGCGCCACAAAACAAGCGTTTATCGAACTTATCTATCACAATGCAACGAAGTTCCGGTATCAATATCCCTGTCAAACCCCCGACGTGCGCAACCTTAGGTTGCTCCGAACGAACATCGTCTGGTACGACGGAATCGGACGGATCTCCTCGGACGGGTTCGCACTTCGCCATGAGACGCGAACCACACACACACACGCGCGGCACGCGCAGGGCCGGGTTAAGGGGGGGAGGGCTAAGGGGGCTATAGCCCCGGGCCCCTTAGCTTAAAATTGTATTTATTGTTGAAAGTAAGCAATCAAATACAAATAAATAATTAAAAATATTACAATTAATTTTGCATTCCTCGTACAATGAAACATATCGTGTACAGACAATATTCAATAAAAGAAAGTACAACGAGGAATATAAATTAGCTTGTCCAGATGTAGAAATTAATGATTTAATCAATGAATTTGCGTGCACTAAATCAAGGAAAAAAAAAAAATGTTGTAAGTGCTACAACTTTAATAAAATGTGAATTATCTTCACGTGTTTATTCTTCAACATCCAGAACTTACTTGTATATCTTTTAAGCAGAATTAAAACGACTCAAATTACAAAAGTCAAACAACAACCACGTTTCTTAAATAGAAATTGCAAAGTATATATGTTTTTTGCATTTCATTTATTGTTATTCAATATCTATTATTCAATAAATAGTTTCTAATGAAAATAGGTATTTACCATCTATACTATTATAAAACAATTCTTACGAATGAAGGGGGCCACAAATATCTTAAGCCGGCTCTGCGCATAGCGCCCGTGCGACCGGATCTCGTTATTTTTTCCCCGGGGGTGCGTGAACGGCGCGCGCGCACTTCCTCGTCTACGCTCACGACGAACGAATAAGCTCGTTCTCATTAGAAGATTAGAAAGTTAATTCTACGCGCGTGATGTAATACGAAAAACAACGGAATAAAAAAAAAAATCAGAATGCACGTGTAACAAATCCTATATTATAATGCAAAGTGCACATCGCAAAAAATTATAGTGAAAAACGCGCGAATTATATTAGACCGTCGGATGGACTTTTAAATGATGAATAAAAGCGGAAGAGAAGAAAAGAGCACATGCCACGTGAAGTACGCTGAATGGTGTATTTCAAATGAACGGCCCTTCTTATTCGCGCTCATTTTTTACGCGATCAAATGAAACACAGTTTGCAGTATTCTTGTAGAAAGCGAAAACGAATGCGAGAGGGTGGAAATTTTTATCGTAAAAGAATCATATATTTTGATGAAAGGCAAAATATTCAAACATTTCAGTCTTGTGTGCATCTTTTTAAATAATAATTAAAACGTGCAAGATCTATTTAAAAGCGAATAACATATGTGTTACATTTAAATTCTATTAATATTTTTATTTGACAAAATTTATATGTGATGTCCGAAAAGCTATTAGGCGAAAATTAACAGGCTGATATTAGATTGCTATTGATTAATTATGTGAAGATGTAGTTTTTATGGAACAATAAGTATGTGATTGTATTTTACGCACATAATATGATCAATCAAAAACAAATTGAAAAGACAAGAAACGACAAACCAGCAATATATGCAGCTATCTGTATAATGTACTATATATTTGATAAGTGATTAATTGCTGCAGTTTATTATACTAACATTGATACTAATGAGATAATAAAGGTATTGAATGAAGTATTGAACGTGACAATCACGATCGCGTTTATATTTTTTAATTATAATTAAATGCAATTCTACATCAGCATTATATAATGCCAATGTAAAAGTGTTCGCAGAAATATAAATTCTTGACTACTTAAAATTTTACAATATTTACTGTTTTAAATTTTAACCGACAAACGATCTGAAATCAGTTAACTCTTAGACGTGTGATGAAGACGATCAAATGTACATCGATGTGATCTTTATAAAAAAAAATTTTATTAAGATGGACTTTGTAAATCGTGATTTTCTTATACACATTATGTAAATTGTGGTCCATAGCTTCAACATGGTTTTTTTCTTTTTCTTGTGTGTTTGAGGTGCGTCACCGTTTTTTTTTTTTTAGATTGGTTGAATTAATAGTGGAATATTTTCATTGACAAGATTGTACATCAAATCTGCCAATTTGATGGTGGCATTCTCTCGATCACATAAGGATGAAGTTATACTTTGTATGCTGAGGATGACTCCAAAGAAGAGTCGAAACGTTCAGAGATAATTTTTTAATTTACCAATAAACGGATTACAACTCACCACTAACCGAGTTGACTCTCATTTGCCTGTTCTTGGGAACACTTTACATCGTTCCTTTAAAGAAGAGAGTCCGTAAGAAGATTACATTTTATTGAATTTGAATAAATTCTTGAAGCGTCTGTTTAAAGTATTGTACTTAATCGAGATGCGATGCTACAAAATCTTACTTAATTCTGATTAGAACCATATAATGTAATCCTTATTATACATTTTATGTTCTAATATTTCCATATAATTTTTATTTCCAATAAAAAAATTTTAATGTAAGTTGCACGTAAACACGATGTCATTGTCGCAGCTGATAAACGCGAAAAAAACCACATTCAAGAATTCGTTCGCGATCGCTCTCTTCCTAAAAATTGCAACAAAGTAAAACAAAGAAAGCCATAAAAGGCTTAGCTCACTTGACTCGTACGCGATTCAATCGTCCTTGATCGTTGTTCACGACCGGGTCAATGATCGTGAAGGAAGGAAAAAGACATTGAATTTACTTGTCACGTCACACAGCTATATCAATATTTTTCTCACGCATTCCTGCATTGTCGAACGACAAAAACCGATGACGATCCGAGGGAATTGGTGATTTATTCGCAAATTACTTACGGCGCAAACTCAGGTCGTTTTACGATCCACCAGTCGACGAGCTAGACTCGAACAGGCAACCAGACAGCTTTTGTCGCATGCCTGAGTTACTTAACACGTGAACGCGGCAATCGCCTGCATTTTGTACTTGAGCTCATCGCTGCATGGCTCGTGCATCATTATTATATTTCTTCGAGGTAGTCTTTGTATGCAATATTTCGCTAAACAGATTTTGAGTCATCAATGACATTGCGATTTTCAGATACCCCGGTCGACATATGCATAACATACATGTGTACTGCTTTGTCATAGAATTTAATTAAAATTTCTAATCGGAACTTGTTCAAGATCTCCAACAAATAACACATATATAGTTTTATTTTATCATATCTTTATAATAATATTAGATATTTTATCTTGCTCTTTTATAAGTGTTGTAATCTCGAACATAAAGATAAAAAAAGGATTTATGTTTCGATTCCAAAATCATTTAACACAATTGCAATATAGGACTCTTATTGAATGGATACCAATCTTTATCTATTATAATACCCATATTTTCTAGCAATGTATTAAAAGAAATGTCATGTTTTCAAACGAATTTACTACGGTCCTATTCTTTATAGAAAGACACTTTCTATATCGTGCGATTACGTAAAAGTTACTATCGCGTATAAATATTTATTTTTTCTCTCTCTCCGACTGAAGAGAAAAAGAAGAAAGATAAACCGTGCATAAGTATAGTTAAAAAATAACCTTCATATCAACGGAAAGAGAGGCGGGAATGTTACAGATTGTACATAATTTGACACAGATTGCATATAATTTTGATGTAGTACATCCGTTGCTCACGAAACGGATATAATCGATTTTTAGATGTTCGAAAACATTAGTTTTCTATAGTCTAATTTCAAAAAACCGATTTGGCTACAACTATTTAATGTAAATATTTTAATCATTTTAAAAGAGAAACTATTTTCAGGATTATTTTTGTATATATACTTCTTTCATAAAGAAGCATTCGGCGATCGAATCGTCTAAAAATTCACTGAGACTGAAAATTGTAATTATATATACTGTATACGATATATTATGTTTTAATTATACATACGCATATATACATACATTATATTATCCAGACAGCATTCCAACAATATTATAACAATATTACATTTGAGCTATACATTGCAAGTTGTTACAATTGTTATTGCCAAAGTGCTGCGTGGATATATAATTACTATACTTTTATATGTATAAAACACGTGTTCTTTGAAAAACTTATTTACGTGCAACAAAGACAAAATACCACGCACGTTCCAGATAGAAAACATCTTACGTGCAGTTAACTGTACATTAGTGCGTAAAGGACCGTGTTAAATAACTTTAATAAGCTCCCGACAGGGCTCAATTGATACGCTCGCGTGCAAAGAAGCGCTTCTACATCAAGAAGACTTAACTGTTGCGTTAAAGTAGCCAGCACGAATGGCATCAATAAACAAAGAAGAATAGAGCTTTATCTATTATTTACGCACGTACTCTCCACATTTAAGGAAAGATGAAAATTTTTACGTTATCATTAAAGAAACAATGGGGAAAAAAAGATAATAAATTAATACCGATACCATTACCGATTTTATTTCAGAGGCCTTCCTGAGATATAATAGTGTTTTTGTCAAGCTTTTATGAATATATTGATACGATATATTCTGCTGTGTACTACAAAAAGTAACCTTTTAAGAACAAATAAACATTCTACCTTGAAAATAATAAACGTAATGAGAAAAATGATGATAATGGTATCTGTAGCAATAGCAAATTCGATTCACTTGCACTAGTCACTGTTCTGATTATGCTGAAAGCTGCTACATATGTAGTTAGTTGAATGTTAAAAACATAATACAAACATTTTCATTGATAAAATTATCGTCAATGTTTTAAATGCATTTGTAATATTTATATTTTATTAAATAAAATATAACTGTTTGTATTATGCTCTTTTCCATTTGGATATCTCCATACATGGCAGTCTTGTTTTTACAGCACTGGAACTGAGTCAGTGCATGTCTATCGAAACTGCTCTTTATGATACAACAGACTACAAAAGGCTTCAACTTTTTATATGATGTCTGCGGCAGTTTAAAGGATTCAGCACATCGATCGATTTCGCGCAATTAAGAAACTATATCAGTTCAGCACACGTTAAATAAAGAGATATATTTCTTCAGTTTTTATAAATTCCAGCAATAAGCCCAGTTGCACGAGATCGATCGATTTCGAATTTTCTGTTAAAATAATGATTTACGATCTATTAAATCAAATATAATTTGA